GAGGAGGGGGAGGAAGAGGAGGGAGGGGGAGGAATAGGGGAAGAAAGAGGAGGGGGAGGAAGAGAAGGGGGGGGGAGGAGGAGGAGGGAAGAAAGAGGAAGGGGAGGAAGAAGAGGGGGAGGAAGAAAAGGAGGCAGGAGGAGGAGGGGGAGGAAGAGGAGGGAGGGGGAGGAATAGGGGAAGAAAGAGGAGGGGGAGGAAGAGGAGGAGGGGAAGGCAGGGGGAGGAGGAGGAAGAGGAGGAGGAGGGAGGGGAGGGGAAGAAAGTGGAAGGGGAGGAAGAGGAGGAGGTGGGAGGAAGAGGAGGAGGTGGGAGGAATAGGAGAAGAAAGAGGAGGGGGAGGAAAAGGAGGAGGAGAAGGCAGGGGGAGGAGAAGGAGGGTGAGGAGGAGAAGGAGGGTGAGGAGGAGGAAGAGGAGGAGGAGAACTGTGGGGCCCTTGGTGCTCTCTGAGCCTGGTTGTTTTCTTGCAGACGTTTCATGACCAAACTAGGTAACATCATCAGGGCTACCGGTAGAATGGAGTGGGATTGCTGCCTACTTATACTCCAGTCAAGGAACTACCAACTCAGACAAATAAGTTAAGAGCCGCCTAATCAAGAAAGGTGACGGCACAAGGCAAATCACTGGTATATAACAGAGAGCGAACCCCATCCTCCTTCACACTGAGAATGTTACCTAGTTGGGTCATGAAATGCCTGCAAGAAAAACCAACAAGCTCAGAGGTCATTCAGGACCCCCACAGTTCTCCTCCTCCTCCTCCTCCTCTTCCCCCTGTCCAACGTGCCCTGATGGGTTCTTTTGTCCCTGATTGTTTTCCAGATGGAGAGCCACCTATTACACCATTTCTCTGTGTACGGGCTTAGCTGTCCTTTACAACGTGAGCTCCAATTTCCCCCACTTCTCTTGTCAACCCCACCCCCCACCCCACCCTCCATCGCCGTTGCAATACAGTTGGTGACCTTCTCAGGCCCCCTGATATCTACTAGCCTCCTTTCTGATTAGAAAAAGATGGGGGTTGCAGAAGGGAAGGGGGTCCGTTTTTCAACCTCAACTATCAAATACCTTTGGGCGACTGCAGTTGCTTCGTGGTCTCCTTTCCCTTCCGTCGTCCCCCTGCAAAGGAGGCTCCAGAAAAGCACAGGTGGGCTGGCGTGACGTGATTCCTAATGACCGGCATCTCCTTGCAGAAACCCTGGTTGTGGGACCTCCGCAAATGTTGGGTCGGGTACCCCCAGCAGGTAAGGAATCAGGTGACTTTGGAACAAACTTTTCGGTCGTGGCTCGCCAGCGGTCAGTGAGGAGAGTTGGGGAGGAGCGTGGGCCAGTCCTGGAGGTTGGGGAAGGCTCGGACGAGAGCTCTGCGTCAGAGGCAGAGAGGGGGCCGAGGCCGTCTGGCAGTGATCAGCTGCTTTCAGAGTCAGACATCAGTGAGGCAGAAGAACAGGTGGAGCCTGTTCCCAGTGTCCGCATGCGCAGAGCTGCCAGAAGAAAAGAACAACTCAGAAANCGACACAGAGCCCTCATCAGAGCCTTCCCCAGACTCCAGGACTGGCCCATCTTCCTCCCCAACCTCCTCACTGTCCGAATCTGCTGCCAGCTCCATAAACATCTGGCCTTGGATAAAATATTGTAAAGTAAAACTTCAAAAGCTTCCATGATAGGAGACCAAGAACATATTCAAAGGCAGAAGACTAGAGAGTCTTGCAGATTCTCAGCCATCCAAGTCCTGGTTATCCCAAAGGTGCTTTTTTGATCAAGAGGCAACTGGACTTTCTTCTTTCCTCTTTTGAAGACGTTTCGCTTCTCCTCCAAGGAGCTTCTTCAGCTCTGACTGGATGGTGGTGGAATGGATGGATTTATACTCCTTGCAGACAGCTGGTCCTTTGCATCCTTTTAGTGGGTCCTTGAGGCCACCTGGGGGTTTATCTCAGGTGTCCTCAGGGGTGGGGCAAATGGGGGCAGGGCCTTCCTGCAGCTGCTGATGACATCCTCTGTCTCCAGTCTACAACATGGTCCGCTCAGCCATTCCGCAGAGGCCAGGTGGCCGTGGGCTTTGGCTGTGCAACCTTTCTCACCTGCTTCTGCCTCCTTCCTTCCAGGAAGACCTCGGCGGCTTAGCCAAGCAGTGCGACCTCCAACCGAGGCAGGTAGAGCGGTGGTTCCGATGCCGGCTGAATCAGGACCGGCCCAGCTTGACCAAGAAATTCTGTGAAGCCACGTGAGCGGACATTCCTGGGGCAGGGCAGACAACGGGCAGCCCATGGGCACAGGGCCTCCTTTTGCACCCAGCAGGAAGGGGAGGGGGAGGAGGAGGGGAAGAAAGAGGAGGGGGAGGAAGAAGAGGAGGAGGGAGGGGGAGGGGAGGAGGGAAGGGGAGGAGGAGGGGGGGGAGGAGGAGGAGGTGGAGGAGGAGGAGGAGGAGGAGGTGGGAGGAAGAGGAGGAGGTGGGAGGA